TCCAAGTATCCTAGAGTAGTTTCCCATACTCATTACTTGTCAAACTCAATCAACTCGTAAGAGGAGTAGAATCCCGACAGTTCGACTTGTGAGCTCCCTTTATTATCATTTTTTTTTAGAATCAAGCACCTTAAATGCAACATCAGTGCCACCGCATTCCATATCAAATCATTCAATAAATAACACCGTTGTCCCCATTCATCCCAAACAATAATCAACTCTCCAAATAAACAAAATAATCCGGTTGACAAGAAAAAGGCTGAAGGCTCAAACGGGCTACTAGTGAAAAATATTTTTGAGGACAAAGAACAAGGCCAAACGAGCTATATCAAAAACCGCCTAAATCATTTTTAAAGCTCACAATCACCAATGCATTTTTTTTTTTCAAGTAAGAATCAAGGCAAATTCGAATAACTCGGGTATCCAATTGACACACACAGACAAAGAATAAAGGTTCAAGTCTCACTAGGCTCAATATATCGCTGATTCAAGGTTCACACGCATTTTCATCTAGGCACAACAAATTATAACCCCATCACAATTTCTCAATCACATCAAATCACCATTCACCATTCAAGTTTTATCCACCATTCAGCCAAAGCAAAAGAAATACACAAAGAACTGACTCAAGCAAATTATTACTATATCCTAATAAAGCAAGTAAACGTGCAACCTAAGAATAAAAATAGCCTAAAAAATCATAAAAGTAAGAACTAATGCAAGAAACTATATGATATGCAATAAAGCGATAAAAACTCAAGATATACGACATCTATCTCCCCCAAACTTATTCTTTGGAAAAGAATTGAGTTTAAGAAAAATAAACGGTATATCCCAAGTAACTAACCGATAAGTCGAGAGAGCTCCACCGTAAGCAATCCTTGCACCCTTGAGCATGATCATCTTCTCCATGCTTCGCTCGAACACTCGATCACCACAATTTTTTTTTCTCTTTTTTTTTCTCTTTTTTTTTTTCTTTTTATGAAAATAAAAATAAAAATAAAAATAAAAGCGATAAAAGATGGGTTGCCTCCCACCAAGCGCTTAATTTAACATCTTTAGCTAGACGTCTCTCGAGTTCTTAATATGGGTCGTTTCCATTCATTCTGACCAACTTCTTCACCATATTCTGACCCCGGTGTTCCTCACCTTTCTTTTTCTTTTTCTTCGGCCCTCGATCAATGACAAATGTATACCGCTCATCAAACGCCCGGAAAGTGAGCTCTTCACGCTCGATGTCTATCAATACTCGTCTGATTGCAAGAAATGGTCGCCCCAAAATTAGCGGAACATCATCGTCGTCATCCATGTCTAGCACGACAAAATCCGCCGGATAAATAAATCACCGACTTTAACCATGATATCCTCTAAAATCCCTCGCGGGTAGGACAATGATCTATCCGCCATTTGTAGTGCAATAGTCGTGGGCCTAAATTCCCCCGTCTCCAACTTCAACTTCTCGAACATCGACAACGGCATCACATTCACACTAGCCCCCAAGTCGCACAAGGCCTTCTCAACATGAAAATCTCCAAAAGAACACTCAATAGTAAAGCTCCCGGG